AGGGAAAATCAGCCTACTTCTACTACTACTGACAAGACTAAAATGTCTCAACTTTATGTTTGAACCAGAGTTCAAATGAGAACAAGGCCATCAGGCCTAACCTTGAGGCTTTGCTAGCATGATACTGTCTTGGCTAAATTGCAGCCTTGATAACTCAAGATAAAAGCCAAAACAAATTCAAGAGATATCATCAAAATAAATGATCAGTTTCAACCTTAATCTGGGTACGATAATCTCATCATGACAGGGGAATGTGGGTCACTTAAAAGACCCAACCGACTAGACTTCGGCTACAAGTACTGCTGCCGTGGACGATCTTTAACCCTGATATGGGAGTTGGTTGGTGTAGAGCCTCTCATGTGAGCTGGCATGTCTCGAGGGCCAGCTGGCTTCTTTGGTATTGGAGTTGGGTATTCTGGAAAGAAAACAAATTAAATTACAAATCTATTCACTTGTGAAATTTTCCATTATATAGTTAAAAACACCATACTTGTTGATCACTCTCCAGAGTGTCCCTATATTATTATTATTATTATTATTATTATTATTATTATTATATTTTTGTTTTCTATCAAATACTATTGTGTGTTTTTAGCCATACAATACCTTTACTATTATTATTATAAATTAACATCTTTTTAATAATTAATTACAGCAAATTTGCAGTTTCTATAAATTTATGAAGCATTACTACATTTAACTTGACAATGCTCAAATTTGCAAAATTACAATATGTTTTCATACAGTAGAAATAACTTACTGTAGTCTTGTGCCACTTGTGAAAAAGCAGTGATGGCAGGCCCTGAACTGGCACTCTTTTGGATACCTCGCGTAGTGGTGCCAGGCGAGCTTGTCATGCCACCACCAGGTGCTCCATTAAGAGCACCTCCAACACCATCACTGCTATCACCATCCACTTTATCCCCTCGTTGGCTTAAATATGACTTGAAATTAGCTGCTACTGATTTTGGGTTAAGCTTTAATTTTCCAAATGCCTTTACTAAGGGTTTTGGAGATGCTGGTGAAGGCAATATAGTTTCTTTATTTGATTCTTTCACTCCCTTGATGTCTTTATGGAAGTCTTTTTCATCTTTTGCATCTCTTGAAGAAGGTGGGGAAAATGCAGATTTGGGAGAAGATGGTATTGGTGGAACTACCTGCTTATTGTTTGTTCGCCATTTTTTGAATATATTATTTGCTGAGAATTTATGAAAAATGCCTTCATCATCAGAACTTTCTGAACTGCTCTCATTGGCTGTTACATCTTCAACTTTATTTTGAGATGCTGCAGATGTATTATTGTTTAGCGAGGTTGATCCAGTTAGGTTAATTATTGGTACAGCTCTGTGGCTTGAAACAGCTTCTTGTTCTGGTGATCTGTGCTGGAGATCTCGAAACTGTTGTGGAGAATGATGCTGAGGGTGATGAGAGCTATGCTGGGGATCTCGAAGATGTGACGGAGACAGATGTTGAGGGTGATGTGAGGGTGATAGTGATGAGGGTGTCTGGTACAATGATGAGGGTGAAGAGACAGCAACTGACTGCAAATGCGATGTATGCTGTGAATATTGCAACACTTGCGATGACTGGGGGGGCTTGGGCTTAGGCGGTGGGGGTTGTGTGTATGAAGAATGGTTAGATGGAGGTAGGTGGTTCAGATTGAGGATGCGAGAATGCGGTGGCGGTGGTGGTGGGTCAGGGTATTGGTAAGCTGCTGCAGTCTTAGCAGGCACAGCAGGTGGGGGCTCTTCGTCACTCAATGTCCAGCTCTGTTCAGAAGAAAATGTTTTTATTAGCAACTAGGTACAAGGATGAATATAAAAGCACCATTAAATGTAAAAGTATATAAGGATGAAAGAATTTTATGGAAATGCCTAATATCAATTTATAAACATTTCACTTATGAATAATCACTGGTATATGAATAAAATTTCCTGTCGACAAAATGTATGAAAAATTTTAATCTAAAATTTTATTTTCTGTTGACATGTAATAAAATTATGATAAAATTACTTTATACAGTACAACAAAATCCTGCATTTTATCAGCACTTATGAATGCAGCCTTGAATCAACATTTAATACACTAAAAATTGGGGACTGAACATCAATGACAATAATAATAATTTTTTGAATACTCGATCATACAAAATACTAAAATCCATGCAAGACTTCACAACATTTAACTTTTGCTACATAATTATTTAACGTCAGCACTAGTTAAAGACACAGAACTGATAAAATATTAGTCTTTATGACTATTTATAATGCTTTATAAAAACACTTACAATCAGAATTTGAAATTATGAGAAGATACTGTTGGCTCCAAATATAGTCCTACTTTACATATAATATAATTGAAAGTTGGTTTAGGCAAAACATAAGAGTGTCAAGTGAAATGAAACACTTATCTCTGAGCAGGGCTTAGTTCTGAACCTTCTTGAGCTGGAAGTGTATTAGGGTTCTCAGACATATTCCACAACCAAACTCTAATGATCTGTTCACCCACCATGAAAAGCAATATTACAAATTCCGGCCCGAAACGCTATGCATGTTAGTGGCTTTACAAGAATGTAAAAACATCAATGCTATGTACTCTCATAAACCCAATGTACCTTCTTGTATATATATATAAATAAATAAATAGTCTGGAAAATACTCCAGGTACCTATTTACTGCTAAGTGAACAGATGCATTAGATGAAAAGAAACATGCTCAACCAATTTCTGTCCAGCCTGGGAATTGAACCCTGGATCCCTGACCGAGTTGAAAATGAAGCCAACTGTACTACGAGACCACGTGGTAGGTAGAAGGCCAGACTATAAATCCCCACCCCCAATTCCAACTACTACTTGGATCTTGCAAGACTGACAACTGGGGGCCCAAACTAACTAGTCATCAAGAGACACTAGAACACAGATCCTCAAGAGCTTAAGCTCACAAGAGACCACCCTGGTGAGCTTCACAAAGTCTTGGGTGCTAGGCTGATCCTATAGGGAAGAGTCTGAAAGTTGTAGGTGTGTCTGGCCAAGTCCACAGTAAAACCCTCAATCCAAGATGGATGGGAACATGTCAACAGACATTGTTAAAGGCCACCAAAAACAAGCCAAAAGTGGTCCAATACCACGTGGCATACCACAAACAGTGATTATCCCTTTAGGATATCCCTTTATCCCTTTAGGACCAGTCTCCATGGCGAAGTGGTAAGACGCTCGCCTGGCGTTCCACGAGCGCTTTGTCTTGGGTTTGTATCCGGGCCGGGGAGGATTTACTGGGCTCAAATCCTTAACTGTAGCCTCTGTTTACTCAACAGTAAAATGAGTACTTGGTTGTTAAAACGATTCTTTCGTGGGGGTCGTATTCCAAGGAACATGGGATTAAGGACTTGCCCGAAATGCTACGCGTACTAGTGGTTGTACAAGAATGTAAGAACTCTTGTATATATCAATAACAAAAAAATTATCTCAAAAGAATATAGGATGCGAGACTTGATCAACAAAATGCTGAGGCTTGGGAGAATCATTCTTGACAACTGCAAACAGTCTGGACACAGTCTACAGATATGGGGCCACTAAAAAAATGTTCCTGCCCAACAGACAGAGGCTGTCATTAAAAATGAGATAAGCTTAACCATCATCTGTTCTAGCCTTCCATATGACCTATAGACATCCTTCTGTTGCACCATCACTGGAGCCCACCACAAAAGTACTGACAAGACCCATGGAAACAGTTTTGCCGAGCTCTCCCAACAATGAACGGAGTCCTCCCCCCCCCTTTTTGACTAAAGACAGCAAGGAGGAGGAGTGGACGTGCATACATTCAGGACTCTGGCACTGCATAATCACTACCTCATTCAGGAGGCCAAACAACCCAAGGCATGCCACTACAGTGCAAAGACAGAATGCATGAATTTCCAAGCAACAAGTGTGGTTGCTGGCTCCTTCAATCCTGTTTTGGTGAAGGTGCTGCTATTTAATGGTAATCAGGATATCAGCAATTACCAGAGTATCAGCATTTTCTGACAAATATATTTTTGTTTCATTCACTAGTAATAATTATTATTATTATTATTCATATTTTCATTTATTTATGCAATACTAAAAGCACACTGCTTTACTTTTACTAAAACCACCTTTCTGTTACATAGACTAAAGGAAATCAATCAATTTGAAGCCAACTATTTATACTTCCATACAAGAACTAGTATGTCTTGTATCCTGGCTCAGTCAAAACTTGAGAAAGAGAGAATCTTAACAATGCAGAAAGGGAAAAAGCAGGAGTGTAAATATGGGATGCATGACTCACGATACTTATTCATAAGAAGCATTGAACAAATCACTGGAGGTATTTACATGAGGAATTTTAGGTGTATAATAGATTTGTCCTTGTAAACTACCTTACCTAAATCATCAAAATTTCAGTCATAGAATTTTTTCTTTCTCAGATTATTCCTCCCAACATTCTCTCTCCTGGCAATGATCTCTAAAATCTGTACTTTCTGCTTGTTTACATCAGAAACAGCACAAGTGCCAACACTAGACTCCTCAGCCGGGTCCATCTAATTACCACAAGCTACCACAAGCTACACAAGCTTCAGAAAGCTTCCTGCCAATACGTTAGTAATGAATAAATATGATATGTTAAGTTAGGCTGACCTAACCTAACCTAACCTAACCTAACCTATCCTAACCTAACCTAACTTAACTAAACCAAACCTAACCTAACCTAACCGAAGCTTGGATCGTCGACTTGATTTGGCGTCACCAGCTTTTTATTTTCGTCTAATTTCTTTATAAAAAGATACTTTTTCAGATTAAAATTATGTTTTTTCGTGTTGTACATTCAGCACCAACATTATAATGAGTAAATATATCATATTTATTCATTACTAACGTATTGTCAGGAAGCTTTCTGAAGCTTGTGTAGCTTGTGGTTATTAGACGGACCGCCTCAGCCAGCCTGCTCAATTCCCAGCCATCATTACTTTTCTACATCTATTTAGCCCTTTCATCCATGGTAAGATAACTCATCTTCCTCCTACTTTGCCTAATCACACTGTACCTGCTGGCAGACATCTTTTCTACTTACAAATAATCATATAAATTAAAAAACACAAAAATCCTTAACTAATGAGGTGTCACCATACTAGCAAAGAGGAAAAGTTTGCAAAGTCTAAATATATTCAGTGTTGCTAGTACTATGTCACTAATGGAAAAAATCATGTATACAAACTGTATTATTGTAATAATACTACAGTACAAGTTCAGTAAAACATTAAAAAAACCTGTATTCTACACCTGTATATCAGGTTAGCCTAACAGCTGCCAATTCAGCATCTGCAATTCTAACCTCATAAAAGTAAAATGAGTTTTTAGGGTCCCGGTAGTACAGTCAAGTTCAGTCTCGTCACACAACCGAGAATTCTGGGTTCGAATCCCGGGCGGGACAGAAGTGGTTGGACACATGACACATTTCTTTTCACCTAATGTGCCTCTTCATCTAGCAGTAAGTAGGTACTCAGAAATTAGTCAGCTTGATGTAGAGTTGCATCTTGGGCAGGGTTAGTAATTTGACCTGGGGGGGGGGGGGGAGGTGGTACCTAAATTTAAGCCTAACATGTATGAATTCACTCTGGCTTCCTGTCCCCTGACACAATGAATTATATTATAATTATTATGTACCAAGTGCTTGACTGGAAGATCAACATTCCATTTAGAGAGTACCAAATTTTATGTTCCATCTATATCTGGGGGAGAAACTGACTGTATGAGTAATTAATTTCCTCCAACTTGCATTGATTGGGAAGAAAATTCCCTGCTTACATACCATTTTATGTTCCAGCACAAAATAGTAAAGATGCAGTTGTAGAAGTTGAACTGTTTATCACTGAGTAAATGTTCAATTATGCAACAATTACTCCTTTTCTTGGAATATCTTTTCATTTATTGTATAAAAGTTACAACACAAAACTTGATGATGCGATATAAGTGAAGGTAAACACTATGTACAGATAAAAATAAGAATGAATAAAATAAAAAATCAATATAAATTTAAGACTTAACAAAATTTAAGTATAAATACATACAACAAATGCACATTTTCTGTTTAGAAAAACTATGCAATGAAGGTTTTATGTTTGTTAATAACTATTAATGTTTACAAAATAACACAGTTAAAACACATTTAATGTCACAAACACCATGGGCATATTAGCTCAGTTACAAACATATTAGTCTGTCTAAACACACAAGAAAAAACCACCATAGTAATCCTACAGGGCTGACTGGCTGGCGCGAGCATAGTGGTGTGGTATTCATGTCGTAAATGAAGAAGATAAGCAGGGATTGCTAGCCAGCGCCAGCCAAACATCACACCCGGACTAGTAGAAGTGATACTTCAGCCCTTCCTGTATAAAACAAGAGAGTCGTATTTTCACCCTCAAGATCTAAAGCTACTGTGGAGAAACATAATTTAATGGAAACCACTAACAAAAGTGGAAGTCAGAAGAGATATTAGAGTTGGAACATACAGTATTAAGGAATTTTTAATGGTATTGTACCATACTACAATGGCGCAATAGTAGAGGTTATTATATCAACCTCTACCTAACTGGTTGCACTCAACAAAAAATTACATAAAATAAGTACTGTATACACTTTCTGCCATGTGAAATCATGACAGTTTTGTCCAAAATTCAAGCCAATCTCATTTGAAAGGAAGAAAGGGAGATAAAAATACAAAGATCATATTATGACAGGATGTAGCTGATAGACACCTGCATGAGCCCCGCTTCTGAAATATTACTCGAGGGCTGAAACACACTTCATTATACAGTACAGTACTACTTCTACAAAATAAAAAAAAATATATATATATGTCTGCAATTAAGCATCATGCTTTTACTAAAAGCACTTATCTCTAACAATGAGTAATGTTTCAGAATTTGGGACTTATGTATTCAGTCAGTAGTAAAGAGTATTAATAAACAGATGAGACATTTGTACATTACCTGCTTGGCAGTAAGAATGGTTTGCCGGTAGTTGTCTTGAGCATCCGATAAACCTGAAACATTTGAATGGATGAAACTACAATAAACTGTTTCATAATTACTGTAACATTATTGCCTAATAAAATACATGAATGTACTATACTATATTAACATATCTTTGCAGACCACTGTTTGACTAGAGTCCAAACAACAGTACAGTACAGTATTGACATAAATCATTTCATATAATTTTCGACAACAAATATTTTAACAAAAAAATAACCTTCAAAACATACACACTTTAAAAATTGAATACCTAACCCTGAGTAACAAGCAACTATAACCAAATCAAATTTTGTCCATTGCACTTAAAGATATATTCTAATGGAATTTGGATTGGAATACTGTAAACATCAACATTAGTAAGCTGATGAAAATGGGACATAATACTCACAATGCCAGTCATTATGAGCAAAGGAAGATGAATCAACTGCACTGTGCCGTGGCAATCCAGCTGAAGAATTTCTTTTAATTCTTGGAGGTGCCACAGGAGCTCCCTCGGAGCCCCGGGAGTCACTACTGCTGCACCCACTTGTGTCTGTTCTTGGGGGCTGCACCACACCTGGCCTCCTCAAACGTACCCATTCTTCACCTGCCACATAAAATTCACTTGAAAAAAGCACAGTATCTAAAGCAAGGGAAACATTTTAAAAGACAATATCAGTCATGACAATAAGTTGGTGCTTTATATATGAATAGATGCTATAAAGTGAGTACAGTATGTATTTTATATGAGCATTTGTACGAGTGTTTAGCCCCCCTCAGTAGTGGCAGTAGTGTGGTCTAACAAAAATATTGTTAGAATTTTGTTTAAAATACTGTAATCATGAAGCATTATAGTACAGTACAGTACTGTCTAACCCTGAGAGGAAGCTCCTACTTATTTAACATGTGTTCAGATGATACAGTATGTGTTGAGCAAATATGTTCAGTGCACTTTCCAATGATGCAATATGCATAAATTTTTTCTAAATGAGGTACATAAATCAAAATACTGTACTACTAAAACATTACATTAATAATTTCCAATAAATATTATTTTAAGTAGTTAACTGTTAGCTTGGATAAATTAGATAATCACAAGCCAAATATCAGAATTTTAAGGGGAAGTGGAAATCCCAGCACGCTCTCACAAGCCCCAATCTGGGCAAAGCGACGCCACAAGCCAGTCACCAACAACAAAGTCTTGTAACAATGTGTGCTGTGTATAATCAGACTCTAGAACATGAAATCAACACCGAAATTTTAATCGTTTCTTGCATCCAATGTTGTCATTAAGTTGTAAGAGACAGTGTACAATATAAAACAGAGTAGAATATAGGTGAAGTGGACAACAGCTGCTGATGTCAATGGAATGACCATCACAATATCAAACAACACACCACTTTGCCAGTATTCTTCACTACAGTTAACTACATTTTAGAGTGCTCCAACTTGCTAACAGAGATAAGGACGTCTGGTATACAATTATAAAAGACGGAGCACTCCAGGTCTGCATCACAGCAAAATAATCAGGAAAGTGTGTGTGTGGTGAGGGTATCATAAAAGACTGGATCCAAGTCTCTTGCTGTATTCCATAGCCATTAATTCTCTTTCCCTTTGCAGAACCCACTATAAAGTGGGCGTCATGCCCACCAGGAGGTTTGTTCCAAATGCAGATGATGAGTCACAATAATGTGACTGAAAAATGGTGACCAAAGCACACACTAGAAATTGAAGAGACGACGACGTTTCGGTCCGTCCTAGACCATTATCAAGTCGATTTTGTTCCAAGTGCAGTCTTTGTAGTAATAATCAAACTAGCTAGGTCAATTAATCTTTAAAAGTATATAACCAGGAATGACATGGCAGATCTTATTGAAAGTTTTAAAATACTGAACAAGTTAGAGGATGTTGATCTGGATATTTTCTTCAAAATGTCAGATGTACCACAAACAAAGAGCAATGGTTTCAAGCTCAACAAACCACAATGTAGGACTGAGAACAGGAGATGCTTTTTCACCCAAAGGGTTATTAACCCATGGAACCACCTACCCACCGAAGCCGTAATTGCCAAAACTGTGTTGTTTTAAAATATATCTGGAAAAGATCATCAAGGCAGGTGGGGGGACCTTCGACATGCCGCCAACTTCCTGTTCTCGTCGAGGCCACTAGGGTTAGTGGCCCTCAGACAAATCAGGTAAATAAGTCTTATAATCAGATATATATATTGAGTAATATACTTTGCAATAAGTGATATCTATCAGTGATAATTTATAGTGCCATTATTTGTAATATAGACTAGGCTAGCCACACAGGAGATGAATCTATATACCAGTGCTTGCTTGCACTAAAATAATATTTAATCTTATTATAAGATTCTAAATTTAGATATATTGGTAGGTCAGCGAGGGCAGCAAACATTCCTGTCTGGGCCTTCATCATTGCACTACTTGGAGCCACTGAAGGAGAGGATCAACATTAACTACTACCACCAACTAGCAGCTAAGCTGTTACTTTCTTTTTGTAGTTTATTTTATTTTAATTTTTTATTTACATATACTCCTTCTCCTTCTAGTGGTAGCAACATTTGAGGGAGGTATTTATATCTAAATTTACATTTCAAACCATACAACTCACAACGCGCAAATGGGTGGAGCGAAAGAAAGCAAAACAATACAGACAACTGCAAGTTCCACCAATATGAAGGACTCAAATATCCAAACAACTCTGCAGATTCACTTAAATCCAAATGATTCAGACGAAACTATCTCGAATCCCTATTTGTGAACAGTCCCTTCACAGAGGATCCCTGTGCCTCTTTGAAGGGATCAGGTTCTTGCTCTGGTCCCCATTATGTCATAAAGGACTCCTATGGCTGATGTGACTTAGTAGTGGGACATCATCTCAGTGAGATGAGGCTCCTCCAGAAAATACCTGCTATTTACCAAATCTCACACTGCATAGCATCACATAGCTTTACCACCTTCATGCTCCAGTACACCATCAAAAGCAGTGTCACACTACACATTATCACACAACCTCAGCACCAACACATGCCACCTTATCATCCACAGTCATGTCCTACCATTTTTGTGACATTCACACTCAATCCCAGGCTCTTCCCGTGCTCAATGGGCCTACCCATCTTTTTCTTGACCTTACTCTTATACTTATGCCCTTAAATTCACCCTTGGCTGAAATAATAATCCTGGAATAAGTTTTGCATATATGTTGTATACATGTGCTACACATGCAATGAGCCTCACATGAACACTGTACACATGTACTACACATGCTATTGGCATTAAATAGACTCTAAACACAAAAGCGTTCCAAAAAATCCATGTACTAGTTATGCAAATGATGTTTGTCACTGTGTCAGTTATACACCATATTAACACAAAATATAAGTAATGAATTACAGTCTTGCAGATGATATAATTTTTCTTCATTAAACTATATTTTTCACAGAAGAGTCATCACTAATATAAATATTTAATACAAATTCAGATGGCATATAAATATGTAAAAAATATTGGACTTTTTTATTAATAAATTTTGAATGTATGATTAAGATATTATATTAGAAAAATCACAAGGTAGCTTGTCCATTATAGTTCTATTAGAAACAAATGAGGAAAACACATTTTATCAACTAACCAACAAAAGCAATGTCACCAACAATGTGAGCTCTGGTAACCTGGTGAGGAGGAAAGTGTGACCGCACTATGGCTGAACTGGAAGGGAGGTCGGAATATGGAGACATACCAGACTTGATTCCTTGCCGCTCTTCTTGCCCCGATACATTTCTTTGAGTCTGGTTTGGTCTACCACTGGTAAATGCTGCCATGTTGTAGTATGGAGAAGAAACCTGGGTTTCACGATTTTCCTGATTCTGTTGAAGAGCTTGATTAGGATTGGGAGAATTACTGGGAGATATTCCTCCTCCAAATCCTTTTGGAGGTGGAATATTGTGGTATGGAGTTGGAGAAATAGTAGTTCGTGCTGGAAGTGTTGCAGTGGAAGTTACACCATGATATGGTGATGGTGGTTTACCCTGATTCTGTGATATATTTTGGAAGGATGGAGATGCTGGATTATTTCCAGATTGCTTTCCTCTGAATGTGGTTGTGGCAATAGTGCCATACATAGAATTTCCATTTATGAGTGGTGAGTGCCCACCTAATTTTGAGTCTGTGTTATCCAGCTTAACTTCAGTTCTGCTGTGGCGAAGAGGAGGTGGTGATCTTGTCTCATTTGGCTCAAGATTTCTCATAGCTCTTGGAGGAAGCTGCTGTACCTTATTAGATGAAAGTGACCTGGAAATGGGTAGCATTTGAGTATTGGCATATATTGGTTCTTGGGCCTCGCTGGATCTAGATGACGTAGTAGACCGGGACTGTAGGGTACTATTACTACTTCCTGATTCTTTCGAGTTGGCATCATCTTCTACCGACCCAGGAGATGCTGCAATCCACCGCAGTGGTTTCTGTCGTTCCAAATTATTTACAAGAGTATGCAATTCCTCAAGCTTTTCTCTGAAGAGAGCATCCTTGATGTTAGATTTATAGTTTAGGTTCGGGCCATGTTCATCATTCACAGATTGTTGTACAGGCATGTGAACATTTCCACTCCCTTTGGATTTAGAAGAATCCTCATTATCAGTGGAAAATGTTGGTGACCTGGTGGCAGGATGTAAGTTCTGTTGGCTGGTGGGACTAGGATTATTTCGTCTGGTCATATGCTTTCCATTTTCAAACCAAATAGTTTCGTACTTGTGAATACTTCTACTATGTTCCAAGCCTGCACGTGGTTTCTCATCATGTGTTTTGGACTCATTATGAGTAACTGGATTCACTGCTTGTCTGTAACTGTTTCGTCTCTCTCTAGTTCGTAATCCCTGGGGTGCGACATTGACTTTACTCTTGACTTCATCAACATCCATGCTTGTATCAAGAGATGCACTATTGCATTTTCCAGTATTTTCTGCTACTTTAGAGACCTTATCAGCATCTTTCTCTGAAGGTTTAGGCATAAGAGATGGCACAGGAGACTTGTTATTGCCATGGAGGAGGTAATCTTGACAGTCTTGATACACCTGTCTTGCTATTGGATCAAGATCTTTCTTTGAGCAGAAGTCTCTTTTACCATCAGTACTCTTATGATTTCTTCTATCTTTAGTACCAAGCAATTCATAATTTACTGTTTCAAAAACTTCATCTACACTTGCATTAGATTCACCAAAATCCATCATTTCATAATCTGCAGATCCTGGAGTAGAAGCAGAAATAGGCGTGGTAGCTGACCCAGGAGTTGTGGGAGCAGACAATGAAAGGGGAATATTTTCTTTGGATATGGATTTCAAAAGAGAAGCTTCACTTTTTGACTGAGACGAGGGTACAACCTCATCATACACAGGAAACTTGCCTATAACTCCTTTCTTTAGAACTTGTGGATCCATATAAAGGTCACATGGGTCTTCCCCTTCAGCAGACTCATGTTGAGACTGTCCACTTAGCGGACAATTAGCATAATCATGAGGATGTTTGTTGCCACGTGAACCCCTCTTAGATGGTAAAGGTACATACACATACCTCGTTGCTTCTTTTGTATCAGCTTTGGGATTTCTAACTACTCTAGCATTTACATATTCTTTATTAGTTGTGGTTTCTTGAGTGAGCTCTGCAGTTGGTGATGGTTTTGGCATTGATGAAGGTGATGGAACAGAGATTTTAGTATTTAATTTAGCATCAACTCCAGGAGAAACCTGTGATACTTGACTGGGAATAGCTGTCATGGTTTTCATAGAAGTAAGATTATCATAATCATTTCTTGATGCAGCCTGAAGGTCCTTAGGGCAGTCATAAATGGATTTATCCATTTGATTTTGTTGGCAACGATTCCAAAATAATGGATTCTCAAACATGGATGAAACCATTGCAGATACAGTTTGAGAGGTGAGTGAAGTAGGTGTTGTTGGCAACAAAGATGAAGACTGAGGTGTTGAAATGAACAGTGACTCCGGAAGTCGCGTGCTCTTTAAACGTTCTCCAATTATTCTTTTTGGAGGTATCTGCGGTTTTGTGTCAGGCTTACTTTCAGTTGCCTTTTGTTCATTTGAGTTATACGACTGGGACATACTTGGAGCATTTGGTATTTGATACACAGATAACTTAAATCCCTCTCTTGGAGAAGGAATGTCTCCTATGAAGTTTACACTTCCACTTTCAGACTTGCTAAGTGCAGAGGTGTCTCCCTTACTTCGATCAAGACTGAAATATGTATTTATATCTGCTTTCTTTCTAGCCAGCTCTGGACTCCTGGTAGATGCAATGGTGTTGGTTGTAGAATCAATAGGTCGAGCATATCTAAATGACTTACTCTTTTTAACAGGCAAGGCTGGTCTGTCATCTACTCGTGCTAACAATGCTGAAGTTGACCCATCTTCTTGAGACTCATTCATGGTATGACTTCCTCTTCTACGAGAGACAGGACTGGTGTATACTGGACTAGAGGGTGGCTTAGAAGCACTCACAATAGTTACTGGAGCAGTTGATGCTGTTTGTATTTTTGATGCATCTTGTAGTGGAGGCGAGCAGGCATTCTGTTGCCGTGATTTTTCAATTATTTCGTATGCCTTCTTTGACTGTAGGGTCTCTTCTGCTCCAAGACTGCTTTTACGTTTCACTCTAAATCCTCCTTCTGTGTCTGGATGGACACTGAGATTTGTTCGTGATGTTACACTACTGGCACTTCGTGACAATCTTACACCTGTTGTTTCTGCTTCTGCATTTTTTTCAAAGAGTTCCTTAAGTTTTGCAATACTGGGTCTGCGAACATTTTCATCATTTTTATTTACTGCATTATCATCTAAGTTATTACTTTCACTGCCAAATCCTTGGGTCTCTGTTTGACTTTCAGATGGCTTTCTATACGTAATCCTTGGAGATGGTGTTCTACTTTTGGCTGGAGCATGTATAGAGGTAAGCCCAAGTCCATGAAGGAGCGTTGGAGTAGTATTTGGTGTGGGTGTTGCACTGCCAGATGATAGAGGATGAGGGCTATATGACTGCGAAGATGCCAATATGCTTCTTTGTGGACCACTAGTTATAGGAGAGGATAAAGATGGCTGGGTAACTTGCCTTTTATGGGCAGCATTTTCTGCATCCTTTTCTAGCTTTGAGGAGGGATGTATTCCCATTCTGGTGTTTGAATGAGGAGAAAGTAAATGGTTGGATTTTGACTGTGATACTGATGACTGGGTGCTGGAGTAGGTGGGACTGGTGTAGATAGATGTGGACTGCAGAATATTTGATGGGAAAGTTGCAGCAACAGGTGTTGTATAACTAATTTGGGCTTGGCTAGGGGAAGGAAAGGAAACAGGAGATGCTAGAGGCATGGGTGAGGAATGGCTGTGGACTGGTGATGGTTGAGGAGCCGGTGCAGCGTGTGGTCCTGGAGAAGGTTGAATACTGGCAGGCAGTGGCTTGGACAACTTCATAGGAAGAGGAGGAACAGTAACCAGTGGTTGCTCTAGAGTGTTAATTGGTGAACTAGAGGCCAGGTAATCTGTTGAAAAATCATAAACTAGTGAATATTGTCATAATATTTCATATTCAGGGAAGAATTCTTACTACCAATATTAATTATGGTTGAAGAACACAAAGTGTGGATAATGATGTAGAGAAACACCAAATGAGAGTTAATTTTAAATTATAAATTATTATAATTTATAGTTTATAAACTATGAATTACTATTATAATTAAAATCTCATCTTGATGTTTCGATGCAAGCAAAATTTCTGCAACTTCCTACCAATATCAGTACTCTACTGTACATAACTTTAAAGTCACTAATGTTGTTTAGTTTTATATTTTAACTCATCTCTTCAAGCAAAGCAAATTACCTACCTACAAATGGTTGAAAGAACCTCAATACTTGGCAATGATAGACTGTTTTCCCGACTTGCCGACAAATGTGCAATACCAGTAATATGAACATTCTAAGGAAATTTATGTTAAATGAACTATACAGTAGTAAATTTTTAAGACTGATAACTCAGAGATCACTATTGACATTCACAAAGTTAAATTAACCATTATTTAGCAAACTGCATTTACAAAATGTCGATAAATGAATGGTCTACATGCATTTGCTTGGTGACCAAGAAAATAAACAACTCGTTTCAATACAGTACAATACTTGCACTGCTCACCAGACTTTTAGAGAATCTCAGAGAGGAAGTTATGACAAAATATAAAATCATTTAACAAGCCCATTTAATAAAAATAAGCAAATATGAAATGTTTCACATCACCTAAAATATAAAAAGCATAAATGCATTTATTCACATTACATACTACAGTATTTATACAGATGCTGTACACTTGGGTGTGACATATTGGTATTAGATATATAATGTACTTTATAACATATTTGCCACAGTATTAACATGGATAAAAATAATAAGTTAGTGTATCTCACCTGCATTTCCCCGTGTGTGGGAGTAGCGCGTGAGTGAACCTGTGGGGGTGGAGACGGCACTGGGGGCAGTTGTCGGTGGGGTTGGTTTGGCACTTTCATCTGAAAATTAAAGGCATTTAACTACCATTAATACCTTGTTCCCACAGCTGTGTCACTTTTCCTAGAGGGGTTGATAGATAGTCTATCCCTAACATTTAAATGGCAGTAAGGCTTTGGTTTGGTTTTTATCTTATGTTATTATGTCTGTGAGAAGACATAATACTAATTAATAGTATAATGATTAATAGTAACCTAAATTTCTCTTATTGCCTTGACCAAATTTAAAGAAAACCAGTGCCATACATATTGCATTATATTTACGCAACAATGAGGAGAGTTTGCTTAGATATTGAGCACATCTACTGAGTTTCATTAACAAAATAAACCTTTCAATAATTCTGCATTATGCTCCACTACATATAATATATACAGGATATGGTGACTAATGTAACAATACATACCTTGCTTTTCAGGCTTCACATACAGCTCTTCATAATCACTTTCTTTTTCCCGAAGGATGAGTGGTGTACCATCAGTTGCAATGTTCTCGTATGGATGAGCATCAATCACTTTTAGTCGCTCTTTAAACAACTCTCTGACAGCTCTGTGCAGAAGAATGTACTGCTCTCTCGTCTGAACCATTGCCACTCGCTGTCGTCGCATGTCTTTCACAAGCCCAAATAAGTCTAGATTTTCTGTTAATCTCTGAAAAACAAATGAATACCAAATTTAGAAGTTTAGTATATTTTTCAATTTTTCTCAGCTGCATTAAATAGTGAAAGAGTGAAGATTCTGAACTCTAAACTAATTCAACCATGATATTCAAATCTAAGCGAATATATATATTGTACTGTGTGTGTGTTGTATACTTACAATGACAGCTAGACAGAAGAGCAAGTAAAGCTCACAGTAACTGCAAAGTTACCAGAAAGCAAGGGAGTAACCAAAGCCTGAAATTGAATGTTGCATTCTAAGGGGTCAGGCACAGTGGTAGGAAATTCCGGTATTGGCAGTACTATCTTCAAAGCTAAATTCTCTCATGTACTATGCTTGTTAAAACTCATTATTTTTATATCATTCTTTTGTGCTTCACTAGATATGTATTCCATGTATGTGCTGTGTGCTCAAGGACTTATCTGACATAGGTTGTATGCACTGACTTGAAAGAATCCTTGTTTAAGTTTTAGAATGCCATTCGTATGTTTGCATTGTTTAATTTTTTTTGCAATTCTTATGTTATCCTATTTATATGCACTTCAAGTGTCAGTACTAGTACAGTAATATGTACATGCCTCAGTCTTTCTCTTGTTCTGATACATGTGTACAATAGTTATATCTTCTGATGGTACATCTTCCTCGCAGATTCCTTTTCCTCTTTTTCATCTTCATTATCTAACACTTGGTAAGATTGATATCTAGTAGTCATATGTGTTCCCACTTCTGCAGTTTGTCTACATTTTCTTGTAGGACTGTAATTTTCCTCAGTTTGGCCTCTCCTTATTACTTTCGCATTGCTTCAAACACTGACAGGTACAAGCTCACTGTGTTCGATAAGCTACCTGTCTTTTTCCATATCATGGTGAGCTTGCCAAGAACTCTATGTTTGTCAGACACAACTTTCCTTCTATAAATCCATGGTGTTTCCTCTGTTATACTTTCCCTATTATATATACAGTATATACAGTGGGGCCTTGACTTACAATGGTAATCCGTTCCCAGAGACTGATCGTAAGTCGAAATATCCTAAGTCGAAGCGATTTTTCCCATAAGAAATAAAGGGAATTGAATTAATCCGTTCCCCACCCTCCAAAATATTAACTTACAAATACATTTTATACTGAAAACAATGTTTTTTCTAACTACAATACAGGACATAAGTTTATCTTACCTTTATGGAGGTCTCTTGATGGCGTATGGAAGATGGTGATGAGGGTGAAGGAGGAGAGGTGTTACTATTTGGAAGGGGAGTCCCCTTACATTATAACATCAGGCAGTGATGACTTTTCAGGGGTACACTCTTACGTTTTGCCTGCATACCACTAGGACCTGGTTGTGATTCACTACTTGTTTGTCTCACTAAAAACCTTCCCAGAGATTTTTTTTCCCATATGTTTTAATTTTTGTCTGTAGTGAGGCATCACAGTGTCATTAAACAGGTTAAGGCAACGGCCTACTGCACCGTGATTTGGGTGAGTCGTTTCAGCAAAAGTTTGCAATTCTTTCCATGCTGCACACATTTTCTTAATTGATGAGGAAGGGACATTCTGTACTGTCTCCTCCTCCCCTGAAGAAATTTCCTCAGTTGTCTCTTGTTGCTGCTCCTTGTGAAGTTCTTCAGTGGTCAGTTCTTCGCTGTGTTCCTCCACCAGCTCGCAACACACAACACTCAGAACACTATGAATGCCACTTCTTTTTCTAAATTTCTCAAACCATCTCCTGCTCGCCTTAAACTCTTTCGCATTTGCATCACTCGTTCCAGGGGTTTTCTTTAAAAGGTCTTCATGCAATTTTCTTGCCTTTTCACAAATGATGGCCTCTGAAACTCTATCACCCGCTAACTCTTTGCTGTGTATCCAAATTAATAATAATTGTTCAACATCCTCAAGTGTTTGTGTTCTATGTTTCATGATTATTGATACGCCTTTTGCCACTTTAGCACTCATAATGTCCTTTTTTTCTTAGCCAGTATGGTGGATATCGTTGACTCGTTCTGCCATGTTTCCACCCTTTTTTTCATTTTTTTCTGATTTTTTCTCAACACAATTTATACTTTAATCTAAGTTAGTATTAAGTTTTAGTCTTAGTGTTTTTCCTGCCCGAAATGCTTTGCGTAATAGTGGCTTTAGGCATTGTATGTACTAGCTCTATCTATAAAACCATCAACTTTTGTATTTCACCTTGTATGTATGTACTTTACCTGAATGAATATTTGTATTTGTATTTGACTGAGATTTGTTGTACTGCCTAGCTAGTGCAACAACCCGCACACCATCTCCATATTTACGAATGATCTCTTGTTTCTGCTCTATGAGGTATTATATGGGTTTTCGTATGTTGAGCCTTACCACTGACTTTCCTGGGACTCATGGCATAATATATAATAATTACTTTAATGTTCAAAATGCAAAAAATCACCACGAAAGCGGAATTTCTTATAGGCTCGATCCCCAGACTCTTGACACTTCATTGTAGTGTACAATATACAAAACAAACCCCAATAAGGGAACAATGATTACTTACCCCAGCTCTGAGCAGCCCCCATACATAATCAATGGCACAGATGGTTCCTGTTCTCCCACAGCCTGCTGAACAATGTACGAGGACGGGTAAGGTTTCCGAGGCTTGACAGTCGCGCACGAGACGTACCATATCCAGCAATGGCCGGACAGTCTCTGGTACTCCATGGTCAGGCCACAGCACATAGTGGAACTGGCAGATTGTACGTTCTTCTATGGATATGTGGAAATAAATAAATGAGGTACAGTTCTAATCCATTTCAGAACAAACACTTGTTAAGAATAAAAATATATAAAAATCATGGGATTGTCATTAATATTGCAATTGTTATTAACTGACTAACAATGTTTTATGAGTTATTTATTTACAAGGAGTATAACATTTAAATTATTTTATACAGAAATCCTCTTAAATAACAAAAAGTATGCTATCATTTTAACACTGAACCAGAATATAGGTACGTATATAAAATTGGATTTTGTGTAAAATTCCAGCCACTGTTTGTTCCCAAACAACTTTGGTTTATAGATACTCCAGTACAGTATATGACAAAGAAGTTTCCTACCCTTAAAATATTTAGCAACTCATCAATAACTAAAATAGTATTCACCTTTTACAGGCAAACAGCTGATAAAATTTATAAAACAGCAAAATAAATGTTAATAAAATATGTAAAATAAATCTTTTACCTGAAATATAGATCATTCCATCATTCTATCAAAATATTGACCATCATTCAACTGAAATATGGGGTCAGAGTTCTGCTGAAATATGGGTCATAATTCTACTGAAACATGGGTCATAATTCTACTGAAACATGGGGACATAATTCTACTGAAACATGGGTTATAATTCTACTGAAACATGGGCCATAATTCTACTGAAACATGGGCCATAATTCTACTGAAACATGGGACATAATTCTGCTGAAACATGGGCCATAATTTTACTGAAACATGGGACATAATTCTGCTGAAACATGGGCCATAATTTTATTGAAACATGGGACATAATTCTGCCGAAACATGGGACATATTTCTACTGAAACATGGGACATAATTCTGCTGAAACATGGGCCATAATTCTACTGAAACATGGGACATAATTCTGCTGAAACATGGGGACATAATTCTGCTGAAACTTGGGTAATAATTCTACTGAAACATGGGTCATAATTCTACTGAAACATGGGTCATAATTCTACTGAAACACAGGTCATAATTCTACTGAAACATGGGTCATAATCCTACTGAAACAAGGGCCATAATTCTACTGAAACATGGGTCATAATTCTGCTGAATAGTGGGCCATAATTCTACTGAAACTTGGGTCATAATTCTACTGAAACATGGGTAATAATTCTACTGAAACACGGGTCATAATTCTACTGAAACATGGACCATAATCCTACTGAAACATGGACCATAATCCTACTGAAACATGGGCCATAATTCAGCTGAAACTTGGGACATAATTCTACTGAAACATGGGTAATAATTCTACTGAAACATGGGTAATAATTCTACTGAAACACGGGTCATAATTCTACTGAAACATAGGCCATAATCCTACTGAAACATGGGTCATAATTTTACTGAAACATGGGTCATAATTCTACTGAAACGTGGGCCATAATTCTACTGAAACATGGGTTATAATTCTACTGAAACATGGGTCATAATTCTACTGAAACATGGGCCATAATTCTACTGAAACATGGGCCATAATTCTACTGAAACAAGAGACATACTTCTACTGAAACATGAGTAATAATTCTACTGAAACATGAGTAATAATTCTACTGAAACATGAGTAATAATTCTACTGAAACCTGAGTAATAATTCTACTGAAACATTAACCAACATTCTGTCGAAGTATGACCCATTATCTGACTAGCATCTAAACACTTAATTCTAAAAACAATTCTAAAAAAAATTATGCCAATTTCTACCTACCAGTCTTGCCGGAATCAAAGCTGTATTTTATTTTCAGAGTGCGCACCATGAAATCTGGGCACACCTGTCGGGCCTTCACAAACGACACTGTAACGTTGCCAAACTGCCTCTCCTCATTCTGTGTGTTTACCCAGTAACATTCACACTTGTGCTGTGGAGAGAGAGAGAGAGAAAGACAGAGTTTACATCACATCAATTACAGTAACAACAGCACTGACCTCCAAGTCTAGCTGGGGGGTGCAATCCTAATAGGAAATGTGTTCAGTTAAATGTTATTTTTTTTTAGGTTAAGCAAGTTGATACTATCTGAAGTATGTGACACTGATACTCTTTATGAATGTGTGTGTGTGTGTGTGTGTGTGTGTGTGTGTGTGTGTGTGTGTGTGTGTGTGTGTGTGTGTGTGTGTGTGTGTGTGTGTGTGTGTGTGTGTGAGAGAGAGAGAGAGAGAGAGAGAGAGAGAGAGAGAGAGAGAGAGAGAGAGAGAGAGAGAGAGAGAGAGAGAGAGAGAGAGAGAGAGAGAGAGACAGAGACAGAGACAGAGACAGAGACAGAGACAGAGACAGAGACAGACAGACAGACAGACAGACAGACAGACAGACAGACAGACAGACAGATCATTGCTTCATAATGCACTGAAACACAACTTGTTACAAAAAATTATCAAGTTTAAAGTGACTTACAGTTAAGATGGTGTGTGGTACGTTTGATCAAAGGATTAATTTTAAAATACATTTAAATATGGATATATTGTGAGATTTTTTGATAATGTATTTTATAATGCAGACAAGATTTGTTTACAATTACTATAAAATGAGACATTATTAACATGCTGTAATCATCCCAGCAACAGACAAATGTAGCATAACATATTACTTTGAGCAAGGTTTTTTAAACTTATTTCTAAAGGAATTACATACAAAAGTTCTGTATTACATTTGCCAAGTGCCAGTAAATAACAACGACAATTACAATCAACAATCAATAAGAATTTAAATCCTGACGAGGTTACGTTGCCAGAAGTAATTTTACTAATGTCAGTAAAACTCTAAACTATAACGAAATTAAAAACACAATGACAGCATATTACAGGTTCAATGATACATAATTATTTGTATTTATGGGGTACATATGAAAGACTGATAACAGTGACCCATTGGCCTGCGGCTCAGTTATCTGATAGAGAAGAAACACTTCTTATCTACTCGAGGGTTGTAAACTGGCTGTTGTTTGTTGTAGATTCAGCTAATCGGAACAAGTTCCAAGTAGCACGGGCTATGGTGAGCCCGTGGTGGACTTACCTGGCACAGGAGAGGACTGGCTGGTTGGGTTGTGTTCCAGGGGGAAAAGTAGTAGGGTAAGGCTTACAATGAGCTATGGGAAGGGAAAGCTCTCCGCCTGCTAAATGGAGTCAGAATGCATCTAATGTAGAGCTCAACTGCCCAAAGAAATAAAAGGATCACTGTAGTGCAGGGGCCAGATTCACGAAAGCACTTACGCAAGCACACTTACGAACGTGTACATTTTTCCTCAATCTTTGACGGCTTTGCTTACATTTATTAAGCAGTTTACAAGTATGAAAACTTCCCATTCAACTGTTGTTATTGTTATAAACAGCCTCCTGGTGCTTCGGAGCTCATTAACTGTTTAATAATTGGAAACAAAGCCGCCAAAGACTGAGAAAAGATGTACTGGTTCGTAAGTGCTTTCGTGAATCTGGCCCCAGGTGCCGGAGCCAGAAAGCGCCCACAGGATGAGTATGGAGGGGCTGTAATGGCCATAATAAACTGTGATGGTAGCGGTAAGACCCACCTTGCCACCTTCCGTCTCGTTGGAGGCCATAATGATGACTTGGACCTCGCACTCCACCACCATCCGCCAGAAGTCCGGAACGGTGTGAGGCAGCGGCCCCTGCAACAAATACCTTACTCACACGTACTGAAAATTATCACTTCAATATTCAACCATGGCAGCTAACATTAAACTCCACACTCAGCCAGTGTCCATACAATATCTCTCAGTCTCTTTACTCTCTCTACCTACGCTACTCTCTTATCCATTGTTCTGCTTCACACATCTCCAATTCCATTAATTTCACTTATTCTCAGTTATCAGAGCATCCTCATTCTCAGTCCACATTCAGTATCATGGACTGGTATCTTTGATCAAAGGATTGAGTTTAAAATACATTTAAATATAGATATTGTGAGATTTTTTGATACTGTATTTTATAATGCAGATAAGATTTGTTTACAATTACTATAATTGTCAATGTCACTGCCACTGCTTGCAAGTGCAGTCACACCTCCCAAACAAGTGCTCGCTTCATGAAGCAGACTGCATTCCAATGACTCCTGCAAGTTTCAGCTTTTAAAACTTACAATATTTTAATATTATTGTGTGAATTAATGCCTTAACAGAGATTTAAAGGTCCTTATACAAGTTCACTGCTGAACGGAACTCACTATAGTTTTTTATGAACTAATAAACATCTATATACTATTTCACAATTGGACATATAACAGGGGTATTAATGACTTTAGAAAGAACAAATGAAGAGAGAGAGAGAGAGAGAGAGAGAGAGAGAGAGAGAGAGAGAGAGAGAGAGAGAGAGAGAGAGAGAGAGAGAGAGAGAGAGAGAGAGAGAGAGAGAGAGAGAGACTGGGGGGGGGGGAATACATGTAAGATATAATGAATTTGAAAAATTGTAAGATGAAAAACGAGAGAAGGAAAACCTAAGTGCAAACAAGATGTGCGAGAACATTGAACTGAAAGACGGAATAAGGAAGGGCGGGAGTAAAGCAGAAGGAATAGGGGATAAGAAGATGAGATGGAAGGGGGAAGAAAGAATATATGAGGAGAATATTAAGATAATCCAGGGAAAGAAAGAAAGATAAGATAATGAAGCATGAGAAAAAAACAAAAAAGACGACGAGGAGTAGGTAAGAGAGAGACGATGAGGACTATAACAGAGTGAGAGAGGAGAGGACTAAAGGTGTGGGGCAGAAGGGTAGTAGAGGAGCAGTCACCTGAGAGCCAATGTAGGCCCTGGAGCCGCTGGCACCTCTGATGTAGTTAGCATTGATGTAGTCGCTGCCCGGCACACCAGGGTAGCTGGACAGCTCCACACGCGTATAGTCATCTGCAACACAACACCTGTCACCTCAACACATATTAAATACTCGAATACACGCAATATCTCTCGTCCATGTATTACTGTATATTATTTACTGTAATACACACATTAACAAGCACCTTCATGAAATGTGATAAAGAACTTGAAAGTCAGTAACATTGGGACGAGGTTTGTCAATGGTGGTGATGGTTATAGTGGTGGTTCTGGTGGAAGTTGGTAGTTGGTGGTGGTAGACGTAATTGGTGGTGGTGGCTACCCGATCTGGTAGAGGTAATTATTGTTGGTGAAGGTAGTTAGTATTGATGGTGGTGGTGGTGGAAGTAATATTAACATTAATATTACAAAGTAATTAGTACTGTAGTTGTTGTGACAGTAGTAGTAGAATAGTAGTAATAGTAATAGCAGCAGTAACTGCAGCAGCAGCAGCAGTAACTGCAGCAGCAGCAGCAGTAACTGCAGCAGCAGCAGCAGAAGTAACTGCAGCAACAGCAGCAGTAACAGTAACAGCAACAGCAGCAGTAACAGTAACAGCAATAGAAATACCAAAAGTCAAATCAGCATAATGGCACAAATAGCAGTAACAGTTTGGCACAGTTCACTCTGCCTGCGGAATTTAAATCAGTGTACAAGTTTGCAGGACTGACGGGCACTTTTTATGTGTAAAATAGCAGTGCTGAACTGTCCGCATGTTGAGCACTTCCGCGCACGCCATATGCAGACCCGCAGGTGGTGGTGATCAGCTGACACTCAACACGGCGGGCACCTCACCTTCACATCCTTATCACTTCTTATCACCGTGTAACTGATGCGTTTTATAAATGTCCTGACCTTGGAGATTTAGTGCTCTTGAAGTTATGGTTGGAGGTGGCTTCCATGACTTGTAGTACACTCCACGTGCAGACCACGCTTACAGGCTGCCAATATTCTTTATTCTACTGAATACTGACGGGTTCCTGGCAGTGGCTGGAATGGTCTGTTTCTTCTCCCACCCTTGTTTTCCCATCTTCCCTTTGACCTCCCCTGTCCCCCATCCCCTTGGTCCACCCCTTTCAGTCCTCCTCCCTTTCCTCTCCTCCCCCCATACTTCCCCCTTTCCCCCATCCCCTTAGACCTCCCTCCTCTGCCCTCCCCACCTCTTCCCCTTCTCTCTGAAAATGTAATATTAAGAAAGCCCCTCCCACCCCCTACCTCCATCCTGGTAAACTTCACACTCTACGGATATCTCTTTCCAAACTTCATCCTTGATTCATTTCAGAAATAATGAAAATCTCTTGAGGGTGTTGGATTACACGCTATATTTCTTAAAGCATTTAACTTAGTCGTAGCCCGACCAGCCTATGACCATCTCATACCCCATCCCATTTTTCCTACAAATTTAAGTGAGCCTAGCCCCAAGCGTCTGGCCTCTAACTTTGGACAAACACACAGACATTCTCTCTGAGATATATATAGATGTGTGTGTGTGTGTGTGTGTGTGTGTGTGTGTGTGTGTTACTCTTGGCCCATGCAGCAAGTGTATTAAGAACTTTCTTAAAAACGGTTGCGTTCTAGATTCTTCGACTGCCAGTTTTCTGTTTCAGCGCCTCAATGTAGCGACTCAAAGAGTGGACGCTTACTATCCAAGGTTCCCATCCGGAATCTGATGAAAGACCTCAAGTAAATTTTCTTCAGTTTCTCTGTGTTTATGTTAAACTGCAATTTAGCAATTGCAACTGTAATGTTGGCCAAATTAGTCAAACAAAACAAGGAACTGGTTAATACACGCGGCTTCCATTCGCGCATGTAACAGATAATCCCCAATAACCCGACAGAACTCTTAAAGAAAATCCTTTAAAGGAAAACGCAGTAATTACATGTGTGTTGAGTGGAGGGCGAGGGCCTGAGTGCGGGCCACAGAGTGCGGGCCACGGAGTGCGGGCCACAGAGTGCGGGCCACAGAGTGCGGGCCACAGAGTGCGGGCCACAGAGTGCGGGCCACAGAGTGCGGGCCACAGAGTGCGGGCCACAGAGTGCGGGCCACGGAGTGCGGGCCACAGAGTGCGAGCCACAGAGTGCGGGCCACAGAGTGCGAGCCACAGAGTGCGGGCCACAGAGTGCGGGCCACAGAGTGCGGGCCACGGAGTGCGGGCTACAGAGTGCGGGCCGCGGGGTCACTGCCTGCTCACTTGACCACACAGTTTTATGTCAAACAAACGGTACGTGAGTGACTACACCACAACTTCACCTGCTTGATGGGGTTCTGGGAGTTCTTCTTCTCCCCCAGCCCGGCCCGAGGCCAGACTTGACTTTAGACTTTGCTTCTGTTCCTTGTGTATTTATTCATAAGTGCAGGAAACGCTAGGAGCGGTTGTTAATATATTAACGTTATATAACATTTGGTTACACTAAGTACTCAAACCAAGCAGTCATACCAAGCTTGTATAATTACCACCAAACAGTTACACCAAATGTACAAATGATCTCAAACAGCTTCGTCATCACACCAGCACTAAATAATCACGATACACAGTGTTAAATGAAAAAGTATATGAGTATATTTTGAGAATTAGTCTAATCTGAAAGAATCCCAATACGATTCTAATGTTTCATGCACAGAATAGTTTGGGATCTTACATGAAGTGAATAAATTATAAAACTAATCTCTCTGAGATGATTAGAAGACCGATCTCCAAGAGTGTCTTTAATCTCTGGTTGTCGTTTACTGCGGGTTCGAGTCAGTCAATCCAAACTCCTTGTTGAAAAAGTGGAACGTGATTCGCTAACTTAAACGTGCCAACTATTAAGCTCGTCCCCGCCTACCACAAGTCCGTTTCAGCCAATCAGAACAGGTTATTAAAAAATGCCGGGAAGGTGATTGGCTACTATAATGACGTTCAAAGCTGGATACTGACGCTTCTTTCAAGGGGTCCAGTTGCCCGTTGAGATATTGATTCAATGAAATATTTGAATGGAACTTGGAGGAACAATAGCATGAAATACGGAGGCAGTGATGAACACTGCGAGGCATCAGTGTGTCGCGCTAACACTCAGGAGACACAACACTTGGGTGAGAATGGCGGGAGTGTTGTCGGCAAATGTCGCCAGCTGCGAGCACAGGCCATGACCAAGGACGGTTTGTGACTTGCACCTGACGTAACACGCCCGCACGCACGCACGCACACAGACACACACACTGTGGCGCGGGTTCGATTCCCGCACGAGGCAGAAACAAATGGGCAAAGTTTCTTTCACCCTAAGTGCCCCTGTTACCTAGCAGTAAATAGGTACCTGGGAGTTAGTCAGCTGTCACGGGCTGCTTCCTGGGGTGTGTGTGTGTGGTGTGGAGAAAAAAAAAAAAGTAGTTAGTAAACAGTTGATTGACAGTTGAGAGGCGGACCGAAAGAGCAAAGCTCAACCCCCGCAAAAACACAACTAGTAAACACAACTAGTAAACAGAAATTCTGAAGAGGAAATTCTTCAGGAGTCAGAGAAGGAAAAAGACTTGGGGGTTGATATCACGCCAGACCTGTCTCCTGCAGCACATATCAAGCGGATAACATCAGCGGCATATGCCAAACTGGCCAACATACGAACGGCATTCAGAAACTTGTGTAAAGAATCATTCAGAACTTTGTATACCACATATGTCAGGCCAATCCTGGAGTATGCAGCCCCAGCATGGAGTCCATATCTAGTCAAGGATAAGACTAAACTGGAAAAGGTTCAAAGGTTTGCCACCAGACTAGTACCCGAGCTGAGAGGTATGAGCTACGAGGAGAGACTACGGGAATTGAACCTCACTTCGCTGGAAGACAGAAGAGTTAGGGGGGACATGATCACCACATTCAAGATTCTGAAGGGAATTGATAGGGTAGATAAAGACAGTCTATTTAACACAAGGGGAACACGCACAAGGGGACACAGGTGGAAACTGAGTGCCCAAATGAGCCACAGAGATATTAGAAAGAACTTTTTTAGTGTCAGAGTGGTTGACAAATGTAATGCATTAGGCAGTGATGTGGTGGAGGCTGACTCCATACACAGTTTCAAGTGTAGATATGACAGAGCCCAGTAGGCTCAGGAATCTGTTCACCTGTTGATTGACGGTTGAGAGGCGGGACCAAAGAGCCAGAGCTCAACCCCCGCAAACACAACTAGGTGAGTACAGACACACACACACACACACACACACACACACACACACACACACACACACACACACACACACACACACACACACACACACACACATTTTTTCAGTGTCAGAGTAGTTAATAAATGGAATGCACTAGGAAGTGATGTGGTGGAGGCTGACTCCATACACAGTTTCAAATGTAGATATGATAGAGCCCAGTAGGCTCAGGAATCTGTACACCAGTTGATTGACAGTTGAGAGGCGGGACCAAAGAGCCAAAGCTCAACCCCCGCAAGCACAATTAGGTGAGTACACACACACACACACACACACACACACACACACACACACACACACACACACACACACACACACACACACACACACAGCTGAGAGCTGAGGCTGAGAGGTATGAGCTACGAGGAGAGATTACGGGAATTAAACCTCACGTCGCTAGAAGACAGAAGAGTTAGGGGGGGATATGATCCCCACATACAAGATTCTCAGATGAATTGACAGGGTAGATAAAGACAGGCTATTTAACACAAGGGGCACACGTACTAGGGGACACAGGTGGAAATTGAGTGCCCAAATGAGCCACAGAAATATTAGAAAGACTTTTTTAGTGTCAGAGTAGTTGACGAATGGAATGCACTAGGAAGTGATGTGGTGGAGGCTGACTCCATACACAGTTTCCAGTGTAAACATGACAGAGCTCGAGAAGCTCAGGAATCTGTACAGCAGCAGACTGGTGGTGAATCAGTCACCGCCGTATCGTAACCGAAGTCTACGAGGAAGGAACCATTAGGCCTGAGAGTAGTGGCTGGTGCAGCTGGTTTTCAACTCAAAGATCCCGGGTTCAATTCCTGTGACAGGACGAGACGTTTTGGCA